CCCACCCCCGGCATCCCCATCCCTCACTGTACCCCCCTAGCCCAAAAAATTCCCCATCTGCTCCTGCCAGACCCGAAAGACGCTCCGGAGAAGCTGAGTTTTCCAATGTTTTATTTGTGTTTTGAGATTACAGAGTCTTTATTGCTGATCTAATACAATCACTCAGACATTAATATTTAAAACATCCTTTTGAAAAGGTTACGTTTGCAAAGTTTTCGTTTCCTCACTGCAGGCTGATGACATGTTTTGTCTTATTATTTCTAAAGTTCAGAACAGAATTAATTTCCTTATACAATTTTGCTGGTGTTACCTAAATCTCCTTTTTCCTAATTCTTTAAAAATGTGTTACATTAAAAAAAAAGAAAACCAACCCATTACACGTTTAATTTAGAGATGATCACAGAATATGATTCCAGATTGATTAGGAAAAAGCCAAGCAAGCAAAAAAGCTTACAGAAGAAGCAGAACGACGTGGAGAAGAGCTTTAAAAATCGAGGTGGGAAAAGCCAGTTGGGATTTTATTATTAATTTTTTATTTTTCTCCTATCTACCTGGAAGATAAAATGGGTTTAAAAATGGGCACGAAGGAATTCACGGATGAGGACACCACCACCGTATGCTGCACAAGCGCCGGACACGGGTAAGCGACGCGACTGTGTGAACTGTAAGGGGCGGGCAGATGGAGAGGGGTTTTCCCGGGGCAGAAGCGGCTGCGGTTGGGACACCTATTTTCCAAAAGCTGCTTTGCTCAACGTGACCCCGCAACCGCGTTTCACCTCGACCGAGAGCAGGATTTCACGCTGCGCATCTGCAGAGAACAACAGAAAGTCTGGGGTTCATTGGCTGATGCAGATCAAGGTAATCCAGCGCAGGGAAAGACCCGAACGTGACGTTTCAAATAGCTCAGGGGATTCTTCCCAAAAATGTCAAGATCTGGATAAAATTCATGAGTGAGTAGAGATTATTTTGAGATTGTGGTTAGTGATCAGTCTATGATAAAGTCTTCTCAAAGGCCTAAGATCTCCTCAAAGCTATGATAAAGTCTTCTCAAAGGCCTAAGGTCTTCTCAGAGTCTTCTCCAAGGCCTAAGGTCTTCTTAAGGTCTTCTCAAAGTCTTCTCAAAGGCCTAAGGTCTCCTCAAAGTCTCCTCAAAGCCTTTAGTGATCAGTCTATGATAAAGTCTTCTCAAAGGCCTAAGATCTCCTCAAAGTCTCCTCAAAGCCCGAAGGTCTCCTCAAAGCCCGAAGGTCTCCTCAAAGCCTTCTCAAGGTCTTCTCAAAGCCTTACTTCCAGGCTTTGAGAAATTTCAAAGAGAAACTTGGAATAAGCAAGCACACGAGAACGTTTGCTCCAAAGATGAGCAGCTTGTGGTCAAGCTGACTTCAGACCTTGGCATCAAGACCCATGAGAAGTACTTGACCCCCGAGATAGTAATTCCACAGTTTTTCCTTTCTTGTGCGTGAACGAGCTGCCACAAAAGAGTTTTTTTGATGGCAAAGAAGTCCGCGAGGACAAAACAAGAATCTGTAGCTGATGAGGGACCCAGGTACCAAAGCAGCAACCACATCATAAAGGCTTTTGAGCTCACGGGGTCGGGCAATTTTATTTTAGTTCTCCATGTGAACCATAAAAGTGACTCCGATGAGGCATGGAGACTTGGAAAGTCACCTTGGTGAGCGTGCCGTGCTGCCCGCGGCGTTCAGGTGGGACATCCTGGGCTAAAACAAGTAACTATGGCAAATTTGTTCTCCGTTGGCTCTGATGCATCAAGATTTGAGGCGATTGAAGGGTTTTAGTGATGCTAAACTCTCCCCCGCGCACAAAATCGGGGTGGGGATTACTCTGGCGTACGTCTCTCACACTCAAAGGGGGTTTCCAGATTTCATCATACAAATATTACTAGAAAATAAAACTCCAAAGATTTCCAGCGAGGACTGAAACTCAGCTGGAGAAAGACCTTGCGTGGACATGGGTCCTCCCAGCCGGGATGGCCGATGAGCTCCGCTTGTGTTTGGAAGAGCTCCCCGACATGTGAGCAGCATTTGTTGGCGAGGTTGCAAGGCTCTTCCACCAGTGCGGGCACGCAAGGCTGCCCCGTAGCCCCACTGGCAACATGACTTTGGTTGAACTGTAGAAGGTTGGCACTCGTAACATAAGCAGCAGGAAAATACTGCGGAGCTGCGAAGAAGGGAGTGGTGGTGGGTCCTACCCCCACCGCCACCACGTCCGTTAGGCTCTGCCTCCGAGTGGGCACTGCCCTGCCCTCCCGGCTCCTACCGCGCGCTAGGGGCTATCCCTGGCTGACGCTAACGACCGGACCCTTCGTTACAGCTTTCAGCAGTGCTAAGGCGAAGTTCACCGACTCGCTGGCAGAACCGTCCCTCGGGCAGTTCGGCAGAATTATGAGAGATTTCTCCAGCGATCGCCGGCGAGATTTACCGCTTCGCTGCCAAGGCGGCAGCCAGCTGGTCGGCAGCGCCTGGAGCAAACGAGGTTTTTAGCTGCGTTGTCAAATGGCATGAGAAATGCAAACCCGGCCGCCCTCCGGCCGGCTCTCATGGCTGCCGGGATCCTGCTCCGCTGGAAGAAGCGCTGGGATGCGAAGGAAACCAAAAGCAACATGCGACCTCGAAGTCGGATCCCGCGGCTCCCGTCATGCGCGTCGGATTAACGGTGATAACGGACTATTCCAAGTACATCGCAGCAATTCAATTCCACCAGCTTCTTCCTCGCCTCCCCCATCCTCCCAGCCCCAAAAAAGAACAACCCAAAGAGAAAAATGAAACAAACGGAAAGAAATCCACCATTGCCCAGTCCCGCGGCAGTACGAACACCAGTGGCAGAGGCCGCATGTACAGTATTCTAATTTAATAAATAAATAACCTAAACACACTGTCTACTATGTGAGCAAGCCCGGCTCTAACTTAGGAAGCTTGCGCTGTTTCATCCTGTACAGTAGTTGAGAAAAGACTTGGGTGCTTGTTCCTCGCGATTCTCCGGGATACGGCGGCAGGAACTTAATATCTGGGGAAAAGAAGAGAAAATGAGGTTTTGGTGAGCCGCTGGGGAAGAGACGCGAAGCTCCCCCAGCATCAACACGGGGTATTTTGGGAGGGGTAGACACCCCTTTATTTCCCAAATAAAGAAATTATTTAGAAAGGGACTCAGTCCTCATCTCCTCCCCGACGTTATATTTAGCCGCCTGCCCTCGCTGCTTGAACACTGCCTCTCGCTTCGAGTACAGGGAGGGGAAAATTCAACGGCGCCCGATTGATTCAGGGACTGAGTCTCACCGGTTTGCGGCAATGTCGGCTCAGAAACCGGGGAGGACGCACTGAAGGTGCAAGAGCAAATGCCTTAAACACCAAAGCCTGGCTCAAACTGGCTGAATTTATCAGCAAGGCTCCCGTTAGACTGGGAATTAAAAGCAGATAATTCGTATCGCAAACGAAGCTACATGTAAGGAGAGAGGTCCTTGCTTTAACGAAGCAAGCCGTTGAGCTGCACGGGGATGAAGTCTAATTGCTTGTTATATCCAGAAAAAGAGGCTACGTGCACCTGGAGATCTCCTCTCACCTCCTGTCCTACGCACCTACACATCAAAATAGGGAACTTTGGAAAACTTGACTCTTTGCCTTTTGTATCTGGAGGCTTAAATTCCTGCAGGACACCAAGCCGAAGCTGTCCGACTACATCTCCACCCCACGGTGCACGGGGGATGGCTCTCCCTCGATGCAGGGAATTTGCCGTGACCCTCTACTTATCTCAGCTTCTCTGCGCATGGGACAAACCACACTCCCCGCAAGTTGGGACTACAGCCAGACACCGAAACCAAGCAAAGAAAACTGAACTGGAGGAAATTCCTCCACGGGAGGGCACGGCGATGCAGCAGCACCATAATAATTTTGCACGTAGCACAGGGCAGGGGAAAAAAAAGCTCAGGATCTGGAAAAACCCACTGAAAAAACCCACTGAACCCCAAAACTGGAGCATTTTGGTGCGGCGCTGCTCTCGCGTGAACGCTGAAGACCTGCGCGCCAAGAAAATGCCTTTCCCTGCAAGAAAAGGATCGAGACTTCAACCCCCCTCCAAGCTGACCTGTGTTTGTGCAAAGCCGTTTCATTTTCACGGTAAAAAATGCGTTGCAGTGTTGGCTACAAACATAAGCCTGGAAAGAGAAGCAATCCAGGGGCTTATATTGAAAATTATTATTATTTTGGGGGATCAGCACAGCCCACGCTGGGGGAGGAGAGCAGCCCCTGGCGCAAGGGGCGAACGCTGCTCTGCGCCATCTCGTCCTTCGTCAAACTTTAAAAATAAAGCTGTCATCTGAATTGGCCGGATGGCATCGCTCTGCCATTTGCCACGTCTGGGTGACAGCTGCTGCCAGATACAAAGGGGCCGTGTCCTGCCAAGCGCTCTGCGTCACCACTCCAACCACACCGTCCCCTTCCCGGCTGGACCACTTCCTACGTGGCGATGGAATTATCAGAAAGCCTGTGATATCTTCTCAGGGGACCGGTGGGATTAAACCCCTCTGCCCTCCCCGCACGCGCACCCTGCGCTCATGGCAGAAGAAAGAGAGAGGTTGAGGAGCGGCACCTGTAGTAGTTTGGTTTGAAAGGTCCGTTCTTATTCAGTCCCAGGTATTTTGCTTGTTCATCCGTTAGTTCTGTCAGGTGGGCATCGAAGGTTGGGAGGTGAAGGCTTGCCACGTACTCATCTGAAACGATTTCAAGCCTCATTAATAGTGGAAGGGGAAGGTAACGAGTCCCCTCCTGCACCAGGTCCCTAAAGCCCCAGCTGGGAAGGGCATCACTCCTTGCACCGTTGCTGCTAAATTGCGGGACTGCTTTTCACCCTGAACGGGGAAAACCAAGGCTCTCATCTATTTTGAGTCAGAGGAGAAAACCTTTCTCTGAAATACCCTTCTGGCAGGACTCCTGGGTCTGCTGCTGTGTTACGCTGTACCCTTGGGCAAGCTCGGATGCTCTGCTGATGCAGGAGCCACCGGACGTTTCTGGTAGGTGACACCTAATGCCCAAGCTAGGGACAAGCTGGTCTCAAAAAATACAATTAACACAAAAAAGTCCAGTTTTGCAGCAAAAGCGTGGTCAGTATAGTTGTGTCCTCAGGAGGGGGTTCTGCTGGCAGAGCTGGTGGTCAGGGACTACATGTCTTTGCAGCCAACGAAGGCAGCTCTGCTGGCAGAAGCCTACAGGAAAATCCCCTGCATCAGCGCGGAGGGACTCCTGCGGTCGGCCAAGTGCGTCAGCCTGTTTTCCCCAGGTGGGACAGAGAAAAAAAACGTGTCCAATTTAGCGAAGAGCCCAGACCCAGTGGGAAGAACTTGCTGGAAGACCCTGAGCTTGGCAGGGAGGCAAACGAGAGCCCAGGAGGCTGCGATGCCCTGCCGTCCTCAGCCCAGCGTAGCAAAACCTCCCATCTGTTCAATCTCAAAACCAAAAAAGAGAAGGCAACGAGCACATCTTTACCCATTTTCTTAGGCAACAAGTACACGTCTTGCTTGTAGCGGCCTTCGGGAGCGTTGTACAGCTCTATCAAAGCCAAAGCCTGGATGGAGAAGACACTTAGGTAAGTAACTGCTGCCCGCTATGGAGCGAGACGCTGCTTTCGGCTCAGCCCAAACCCTACTCGCCTGCGTGGTGGCAGTGATGGACAAGACGAAGGTGGGGACGGTGGAGCAGATCAGGTTCAGAAGGCGGGCACGGGCAAGAACGGGTTGTTATCTCAACACGGCACCAAAACCAGTTTACAACCCTACAGAAGGTACAAGAACCACCCCTGAAATGCGTCCCTTCTGGGATGAAACACCATTTATCACATGCACTTGAATCCCAAGATATTGCTCTTATAACTCAGTAAAACTATTTAGAAGTGAAAATCTGATAAAATACCCTGTGGGAAATACCCTGGAGTGGGATAAAGAAAAAACACAGGAGCTTTTCTGCGTTCCAGTAACCCATGGGCCAAAGCAGGGTCACACCAAGCCTTTCAACCAGAGGACTATTGAGCTGCTGAGGCCCAAGGAGGTGATTTCTGGATGCACTTCGGCTCCACCGCTCATCCAGCCCTTGTTTTCTTCCTCCGCAAGCAGAGAACAGGTTGCAATTCCTGCTCCTTTGCCTGCAACTCACCTCCGCCAGAAGGACTATTCTCTTCCCGTCTGGCCAGATGACATGGTCCACCTGGGACCTCACCCTCTCCCAGGTCAGCTCGGGTGTACGCAGGCTGGCCTGAAACACAGTGTTAAAATAGTTAAAGCACTGGCAAAAGATCAAAAACCAGAAGCTACGTAGTAGGAATGAAAAGAGGAAGCAACTCGCTGACATCGTCCTGGGCTTATAGTTTCCTTTGGGTCCGGTCGCAGTCCCAGACCAATGAAACCTTCATGAATCATAACCTGGAACTATTTTTATGATTACAATACATCAAAGCTCCAGAAACAACTATTGTTCAAGCTCTTCTGGCTGAAGAGGATTCATGGTCACCAACTAAACTGTGCATGGCGGCGGTCACTTCTTTCCAGCACAGAAAATGGCTTTAAACCCGTGGGTTTGGCCGAGCAATTCTCCACTGACCTTCAGACAAGATTCTCCTGGTTTTCTACCCAACTCTAAGCACAGACGAGCAGATTTCGGTGCCGCTCGGTAAAGCGCGGTGGGGTTGAGCGTGCTGTGTTGCACCAAGCTGAACTCTTGGCTGGGTCTTAATGGTATAATAACACAAAAGCAGAGAAACTGGGCTGGAAAGGTGATTCACCGACTCTCGAGGGGAAGGTACGAGGCTGGTGGATACCAGACACTCCGCTGGAAGCTGGAGCAATTTGTCTGGCTCGTTGGCATCCTTTGGGATCGCAGGAGTGATGACAACATATCTGAGAGTGTCTGCTGAGACACGGGCAGCGATGGATTATTTTATCTCCCCCCAGGTGCTTGCTAAAGCGGCACGGGTCAGACACGGCTGCCGAAGGGTCCCGAAAGCACCGTCACCCCACCCCGCGCCGCCCCTGCGCCCCACGCGCGTCCCTGCGCTCACCACGTCGATCTCGGTGTTGGAGTGCCCCATGTTGCAGACGATGCAGCTGTTCTTCATCCGATCCAGGTGTTCCCTGGTCACCACATTCTTGTTGCCTGCCAGACAGCAATATCCATAATAAATACCCATGTTCACTTTCCCCACCTTTTTGCCTTTTCCTTTGGAAAAAGATGGACCCGATTATGGGGTGCGCATCCCTGACGGCCCGTCCTCCTGCCTCGGGGACTGCGTACCTGTGCAGGTGATGACGATGTCAACTTGCCTGATGACTTCATTGAGTTTCACGAGCCTGAATCCATCCATGCTAAGAGGAGAGGGGGGAAAAAGTAGTCTGAGAAGCAGCAAAACCATGCCAAAACCAGAAAAAAAAACACATCAAGTGATTCTCAGATACTCATTTTAACTTTCTAATGCCAGACTGGAAAACAGCAAGGCAGCAGGCAAAGGGCCACGTACCCCAAGCCATTAGGAGGGTTTCTGGAGGCAACCCGGAGGATTTGGGACTGTTGTGGGGAGAAGTGAAAAGAGATTTTGGGGGTTTCACATTTTCTGTCAAGGCCTCTGCATCTGCAAATCTCCATTTTCAATCGAGACGGCTTTTTTTAAAGCTGCTACTCCTGCAAAGTACATCCAGAAGATGCAGACAGGCCTTCCTGCTGCAGGATCCTTTCTGATACAGCTTTAGATCACCTTAAAAAAAAACCCCAGATGTCTATCGTTAACCTTGCAATCCTTACTTAGGCACCTACCATCTTTAGGAGTGCTGAGCACTCAGCAGGTCTTTCCTGACTTCACCGAGCAAGGTGTGTTCAGCGCATCGGATAACAAGGGCAGGATTTTTTTTAGGATTTGTTGACAGTCCGCCCGAGAACTTATTTCTGTGACTCTCACAAGCTGCAAAATCGTAGTTACTATAAAAAAAAGTAATTTTTTTCTGCTGTATGTCCCATTTACTGTTTTTTTTTTTTCTCCACTGCAAACTCCTTACAAGAGGGGCTGCACGCTGTTGCCTTGGGCAGAGTCGGGGAAGGGGCTGCTGCAAACAACCAAATTCACAATTAAGGATGCGGGTGCTGGATGTGCCATTCGTGAAGGTCGTAAAGCAAACTGAAAGTTGATCAGCTCTTCTAATTAAGCAGGGCTTATTAGTTTTCGCACAGCAATAGCCCTTTGAAAGCTTGCTGTTAGGAAGAGGCTGCGGGTTTAATAAGGGTCCGGGTGTTTTGGGGACTCTGCTTTCATAGCCATGTCCCATCTCGAACCTTGGGATGCAGAAGCAGCATCTCTGCACCAAAACAACCTTTACCTGGAGCAAACGAGGTCGGGTATAATTGCAACATGCCTGTGCGAGGGGACAGTGCTCTCAGCCCTGCGTCAGGGTACCAGCGTTAGTGAGGAGAGGTCTGTGAGGGGCGGGTGATCACAGAAACCAAAATATCCCTCGGGTGAGGTGTGTGCACAGCACAGTAAAGCCCGAGTTTGCACTCCAAAGGTCGCAGTTCACTCCCAACATCCTTTCAAGCCATATCGTTAAACTCCTTCAAGCCATATCGTTAAACTCTTTCAAGCCATATCGTTAAACTCTTGGCCACTGTGGTAATGATTATGCAAGCTGGCACGTGGGATACAGATAAACTGGGTGATGCTTCAGTGCCGGAGCCCTTTTCTGGCCATAGGAGAGAGCTGTGGGTCCCTCCAAGGGTGCAGAGAAGCCATGAACCCTTCACCAACATCCCTCTCGGGAGGGATCACTGCCGAGTGATTTCTGGCCATGGTTTTCCTGGGGAAAAAAAGCCTAAAGAAGAAGCCGGGCTCGGTGCGACTGCTTACCAGGCCTGGAGGGCACAGATCGGATCGATCTCTGTCACGTAGACTATGGAGCCCATGGCCTTCAAAGCAGCACAGCAGCCCTTTCCAACCTGGGGAGGGAGAAGAGCACAGAGGAAGAGTGAGATGCCGAGAGCTCGGGAGACGCCGAGCAGCAGTGCGGCCGTGGGAAGCTCACAGGGGATGTACGACTGCGGGCGCCTCTTCTGCAGCCCCAAGAGCCCCTTGCAACCCCCCTAGCAACTCCGGTTGCATATACTCAGTTTTTGGGTGCATGAAATTCCTGGATTTGGAGTAACCTAGGACCTGAGTCAGGCCCAGCTTAGCTAAGAGAGGCACTAAAAAATATGTGTGTGCCGTTCGTTTTGGTCCCAGGGAGTTCTTTTTCCGCCAAAACATCCTGGTATCTAGACAGCACCACGATAACGAGAGATTACACTTATCTCAGGGAAAGTTTAAGAGTCTCTTGTAACCTTTACTCTATTTAGGAAGCTTAATGGTTTAATCTCTGAGGGTTAACGAGCTTTAACCTTTACACAGCACATACGGTGCAGCTCGCAGGGGAATTCAGGAGAACAGTTAAATGACCAAGGGTTCCCAAAAAATGCGATTATATGTGAGAAAATTGTCCCATTTCAGCTTTTTTGGGGAAAAAAAAAAAAGTCCCAGTACAGCACCCACAGCACAGCCCACCATAACTGGTGTTAACTGGTCCCGACAAGAACTGCCGAAGGATGAATATCCCAGTCTCGCCTCGAGAGAGGATTCCTCCGTTTGGGGGTGAAGGCACAGGGGTAAGTCAAGATTAAATTATCTTTCTTGACCACGCTTCAGCACGCCACGCTGCGGCTGCACAGCACATCTGCAGAACCCAGCCTCTGAATATTTTAAT